CAAGATCCGCTAACCCCCACAAAATGGCCGTTGTCCCACTGCCATCCCTGGAACGCCAAAGTGTGCCAACCACATTCTAGAGCTGTCACAAGCTCACTGCCACCACTGCCAGGACTAGAGAGTTCTGGGGGGGGTGGGGTTGTGAATGGTGGGGTGGTGGGAAGGACAGCAACCAATTAAGGAGAAGTTCAGTTGGTTCTGGGCTGGGGTGGGGTGGGAGGGGGAGAGCTGATCCTGCTGAGGGCTCACATTCCGATGTTATCCCTGCAGCAAACCATTCCCATTCTAGCCGTGCCGGTGGAAGACAAGGGTGAATGAGAACCATATGCGAAAGAAGTATGACGCCACTGGCATCATCATCACCATCAAAAGAAAATTTCTTAGCTACTAACTGAACATGGTGATGTGCTATACATTATACAAAAAGCTCAAATTCTCCTCTTTCTCCCATCCTCCTATCTATCAATACAAGGATATCCTTGAATGGGGGGGGGGGTTTGAGGGAAGAAGGTGAGTATGGTAGCCTATATTCACTGCTTCTGTTTTCCCCTCCTTTAGGAACTAGAAGATGATCCACCAGTAAAATATCCCTCTTCATTCTAGGTTTCCATTCCCAATGAGTATAGCCAGGGCTGTGAATTAGGAGAAATGATGAAGATACTTTGAGAGCTTCAGGTTAAAACAAACTCCACTTCACCCTTCTGGTAAAGAGGGGAAACTGAGGCCAGTAAAAAGATATGGGTAGGGCAGAAAAAGAATTGAATTTCCTCCCCAACTGCTTGTTCCCAAATTTAGGGAAAGACTCAATTCATTCCATCACTGAAGGATAATTCTACATTATCCCATACACGGCTCCTGACTCAGTGTCCCATCCAGATTCTTCTTGACAAGATAAGGGGTTCAAGATCTGCCCAGTTTTCCTCTAGGATTCACCTGCCATCCTGCCATCCCACCCCCATCTCTGCTCCATCCTGAAGGCTCCCTTCTTCCATTCCAGCTAGGATTATGGCTCTGACATTGATGGGAGACATGGACAAAAGAATCAAACAGATGCTTCTCCCCTCAGATTTAGCTATATAATTAATTAAATCTTGACAGTGGGCCAAGGCTTCTCCCTCATCCTCGAAATCACATGCCAGGGGAAAGTGAAGGAATTTCTTAACTCTTTGTGGACCTAGCAGTTGTGGAAGGGAGATCATATGGCTTCTTGTGGCTAATGGTCTCTTGCCTGTCCCTAACTGATTCACTGAAGATATATCATCCCTTTTTGGGAGGTAAATGTCAACCAGGCATCAATGGAGGACAATAATCCAAAGTAGAAAAAGATTCCCTATTTCACTATTTCTCTATATGCAATTTTCAGCTTCTGAGTTGACTCTCAGTCCAAACAAGGTGGCATCTTCACTGTACAAATGCCTGGCTTTGCTTCCATCCTCCCGCCTGGCAATGGGTTCTGTCCCTCAGAATTTCTTTTTGAAGGTAATTTTTACCCTGTCCCTGAGAACACCCTGTATAGCACCGGAAGGAAATGAGCTTGGAGTGAGCTACTCTGGTCTCTCCAAAGCTGGGTGTATTTTACTGAACATCTCTTATTGGAATTACTTCTTCAAGAACTGACTGAAGCAGACAACCATGTAGCACATAGAAAAGCTGACCAGCGGGGGCATTCACTATTGGGTCGGTGTGACAGTGTTGACTGCCAAACTATGGGCTTATCCCAGAGCAGGAGTGGCATTTTCAGAGTGGGAAATTTGGGGATGGAGTGACAAGGGAGAAAAGAGCTACTTCCCATCTCCTGCCCTTAGCTTAAGTTATTGATCAAAGAATCAAGAGACAAGGTATGTCCGGCTTACCTGTGTCCGCGAGCGACCGTTCAACAGGCTTGCTGCCTGCCTGCTGTTAGTTCTCTCCTCCTTGGCCCCAGCTGCTGTTTCTTGCAGGAGGCTCAGAGCTGGACTGCTGACTAACAGAGAGGGGGAGGAGATGTAGGTCAGAGAATTCCCCCCCCCCACCCCTCTCACTTACTCCTGTTCTGCCCTTCATCTTCTCCACCACCACCCCTTCTCCCACGCAGGGCAGAGGCTGGCTATGTCCAGCCCACACACACACACACACACACACACACACACACACCTCACTACCACCACCATCAAATACACACTACACACATCCCATACACATAACACTCCACTGGATCATTCTCCTGCAGTTTTCTCCCAGTTGTTTCAGACTTTGATCAGGACGTTTTATCCATTTAATGTAAATTAGCTCAATGTCTATTAAGTTATCCTTAGGGTGGTGCAGTGGCATATTATTACCTGTTTCCTAGATGCCTTTATTCTACTCTTGGCTGGCACTGGGTTGGGAGAGGTGGGAATTGTACTAACAGATTCAGTCACAACCCTCTAGATGAGGGACTTAATAAATGTATTTCAACATAAATGGTTCCTTTGCGATTGTATGTACTTTATGCATTTAAAGACATTATTCTGAGAAGGAGTCCGTAGATTTTAACAGACTACCAAAGGGGTCCATGATATAAAAAGGTTAGGAATCCCTGCTCTAGAGGCTCCCAGGCAAAAATCCACGTGTGTGGATAGACATGGAGAAGTCATACAAACAACAGATTCAAAAAGCGAATTAATTTCATACCCAGATACATAGGAAGAAATGTCTCCAATACATACTCAATAAAGGTATGATTTCATAGGAGGGCAGTGAGTGAATGTGTAGGGGGCATGGGGTTGAGAAACATAGGCGTCCCATGGCCAGATGAGTGAGTTTCAGTCAAGGGAGACTTCATGGAGGAGGAAGTTGCTGTTTGAATGATGGATGAGCAATAGCTTCTGAGCGAGCTGGGTTAGGAGTCAGAGTATGCCATTTAAAACATGTGCCATAGTTTGGAAAGAAGGCATGAGGGCAGCTAGGTGGCGCAGTGGATAGAGCACTGGCCCTGGAGTCAAGAGAACCTGAATTCAAATCCAGTCTCAGACACATAACATTCATTAGCTATATGACTCTGATCAAGTCACTTAACCCCAATTGCCTCACCAAAAAAAGAAGAAGAAGAAGAAGAAGAAGAAGA